CCCACATCCCCCTTTCTTCTCTCTGCCTCACAGGCCCTGCCCTTCTCCCATCTCATCCTGGCCACAGGCAGCACCGGGCCATTCCCCGGCAAGTTTAACCAGGTTTCCAGCCAGCGGGCCGCCATCCAGGCCTACGAGGACATGGTGAGGCAGGTGAGCTGGCCTGCTGCCAGGGCTGGGGGCAGAGCAGGTGGGCCCCTGGGAGAGCTGGGAGAGCCAGGGGGCTGTGGTGACACCTGATGGCAGAGGGTCTCTGTTTCGGCAGGGGCTTCAGAAGCTGGTGGTGGGTGAGCTTCTGAGAGCTACTCAGAGTCCGTGGATGGGTCCTTTCCTCTATGGAGGGGGACGGCAGGTTGATGTGATGAAGTAAAATCAATAGGCGCTAACTTAAGCAGGTGACTCTTTTCTGGCAAATTGTGGAAATGACTGTGACTGACTGATGTGGTTAAAGCTTATGCATTTTGTTTAATGGGCTTCAAGCAGCAGTAACTGATTTTAAGTCTCTCAGTGTACTTTCTACATGCTTAGAATCAGGAGACGAATAAGATCAGTAGTAAACCCAAGCCAGCTCTGCTGTGTCTAGTCCACGCTGACTCATCGCGATCCTGTGGGACAGAGAACTGCCCCAGAGGGTACCCAAGGCCGACATCTTACCCCAGGGGACTGCCACATCTTTCCTTTGTGCAGTGGCTGGTGGGTTTGAACAACTGACCTTTCGGTTAGCAGCCAGTTGCTTAACCAGTGTGCCCAGTAGCTTAAGCTGTCTTTGGTATATTTGAGAGGGGGTTCCTTGGTGCCATGAATGGTCAAGTGCTTAGCTGCTAACCAGTCCACCCAGAGTCACCCAGAGAGAGGCCTGGCAACCTACTTCCAAAAATCCGGCCACTGGAAACCCCGTGGCTCACGTTCTACTCTGACCCACCAGGGGCCACCGTGAGTCTGCATGTACCTAATGGCCACTGGTACTGGCATGTCTGGGAGAGAATTTGACAGTGAGAGCCCCGATTTGGACCACAGGGTAGACCCTCGGTGGCAGGAGCAGTTGGTGGCCTCATCTGGATAAACTGAGGACCCTCCTCACCCGTGTCTGCTCCTTCTGCCTGCTTTTGAGGGCAGCCTCTGGGCATTTGCTAGTGTTCCTGGGATGCCAGCCTCACAGGGTTCAGCCCAACCTCCTTTCCATTTTGTTGCCTAAGTGCCTGAAGAAAGGCCGCCTCACCCCAGGGCAGGGGCAGAGGCA